TTGATATCTTAACAATATTGTCTTTCTATCCATGAACATGGAATGTCTTTCCATTTATTTAGATCTTCTTTAATTTCTTTAAGCTATGTTTCATAATTTTCAGTGTACACGTTTTTCACTTCCTTGGTTGAATTTATTCCTAAGTATTTTATTCTTTTAGATGCTATTTTATATAAAATTGTTTCCTCAATTCCTTTTTGAATTGTTTATTGCTGGTGGACAGAAACAAGTGATTCTTATGGGTTGAGCTTATGCCTAGATATTTATGTGTTTTCTACTCATATGACCATATTAGCTGTGAATAGAAACAGTTTTACTTCTTACTTCCCAAGTTGAATGTATTTTATTTCTTTTTCTTGTCTAATTATCTGGCTAGAACTTCCAGTATAATGCTGAATAGCAGTGGTAAAAGTGAGCATCTTTATCTTGTTTCTGATCTTACAGAGAAAGCTTTTAGTCTTTCACCATTGAGTATGATGCTATCCGTGGGTTTTTAATAAATGTCATTTAAAATATTAACAAATTTTCTTCTCTTCTTAGTTTTCTGAGTGTTTTTATAGTGAAAGGATACTGGATTTTCTCAGATTACTTTTCTATATGAACTGAGATAGTCATGCATTTTTTTTTCCTTTTTGCTGTACATATGATGTATTACACTGATCATTTTTCTTATGTTGAACCACCCTTGCATTTCTCGGATAAATCCCACTTATGCATGGTGTATAATCCTTTTAATATGCTGTTAGGTTCACTTTGCTATTATTTTATTTATGCTTTTTCATTTATATTAATAGTGTATATTGGTCTATAACTTTCATGTCATTTGATGTCTTTATTTGACTTTAGTGTCAGGGTAATGCTGTTTTCATAGAATCAAGTAGGAAGTGCTACCTCCTCATCTATGTTTTGGAAGCATTTTCAAATGATTGGTATTAATTCATTCCTCTTTGGTAGAACTCACAAGTGAAGCCAACAGGTCCTAGGATTTCTTGGTTGGGAGGTTTTTTATTACCTATTCAAACTCTTGTTATAAGTCTGTCCAGAATTTAAATTTTTTTCTTGAGTCAAATTTTGTAATTTTGTGTCTTTCTAGGAATTTTTCCCTTTCAGCTAAGTTATCTAATTTGTATACAGTCGTGCATAGTACTCTTTTATTTCTTTTTTATTAAGGTCAGTAATAATGTCCCCACTCTCATTTTCTATTTTAGTGGTGTCCTCTCTCTCTTGCTCTCTCTCTCTCTCTGTCTCTCTCTCTCTCTCTCTCTGTCTCCCTCTCCTCTCTCCCTCCCGCCTCTCTCATCTTGCTAGAAGTTTGTTGTTCTATTGTTCTTTCAAAGAACCAACAGTTGATTTCATTGATCATTTATATTGCCTTTTATTCTCTCTCTCTCTCACTCTCTCTTTAAGTAGAGATGGGGTTTCACCATGTTGGCCAGGCTGGTCTTGAATTCCTGGCCTCAAGTGATCCACCCGCCTTGACCTCCCAAAGTGCTGGGATTACAGGAGTGAGCCACCTCACCCAGCCTATTCCCTATTTCTATAATCTGTGCTTGAATATTCAATATTTCTTTTCTTCTGCTAGCTTTGATTTTAGTTTGTTTTTCTAGTCCCTCAAAGTGTAAAGTTAGGTTATGGATTTTTTTATCTTCCTTCTTTATTAATGGGAAGTTTCCTCTGAGCGCTGCTTTTGCTGCATCCCATAATTTTTGTATGCTTTGTTTTCTTTTGTTTGGGTTATGGATTTGAGATTTTTCTTCTTTTTTAATGGGAATTTACGGCTGTAAGTCTCCCTCTGAGCACTGCTTTTGATGCATCCCATAATTTTTGTGTGTTTTGTTTTTCTTTGCATGTATCTCTAAGTATGTTTTAATTTTCTCAGTGATTTATTATTTGATCCACTGGTTACTTAAAAGTGTATTGTTCAATTTCCACATGTCTATGAAGTTTCCAATATTCCTTCTGTTATTGATTTCTATCTTTATGCCATTGTTGTCTGAAAAGATACTTTGTGTGGTTTTAATTTTTTAAAATTTGTTGAGACTCATTTTGTGGCCTTACATATGGTCTCTTCTGGAAAATGTTCCATGCACACTTGAGATGAATGTATATTCTTCTGTTTGGAAGTGGAAGGTTCTATATTTATCTGTAGGTCTAATTAGCTTATTATGTTGTTCAAGTCCTCTGTTTTCCTACTGCTCTTCTGTCTAGATGTTCTATCCACAATTGAAAATAGTAGAAGTTTCCAACTCTCATTTTAGAATAATCTATTTATCCCTTTGAGTCTGTCAGTGTTTACTTCCTATATTTTGGGGCTTTTTTGTTTGGTTCATATATGTTTATAATTGTTAGGCTCTTTAATGAATTTTGCCTTTTGTTGATATATAATACTCTTTTTTGTCTCTTGTAGAAGTTTCTGACTTTAAGCCTATTTTGCCTAATATTAATATAGACATCCACCTCTCTTTGGGTTACTATTTGAATAAAATATCTTTTTCCATCTTTTCATTTTCAGCCTACTTATGTCTTTAGAACTAAAGTGAATCTCTTGTAGATAGCATATAGCTAGATCATGTTTTTCAAACTACCCTGACAATCTCTTTTGACTGGATAGTTTAATCCATTTAAAATTAAAGTCACTGATGATTAGGAAGGACTTACTTCGGCTGGGCATGGTGGTTCATGCCTGTAATCCCAGCATTTCAGGAGGCCAAGGTGGGCAGATCATGAGGTCAGGAGTTCGAGTCCAGCCTGACCAACATGGTGAAACCCCATGTCTATTAAAAAACACAAAAACTAGCCAGGCTCAGTGGCACATGCCTATAATCCCAGCTACTCGGGACTGAGGCAGGAGAATTACCTGAACCTGGGTGGTGGAGGTTGCAGTGAGCCGAGATCACGCCACTGCATTCCAGCCTGGGTGATAAAGTGAGACTCCATCTCAAAGAAAAAAAAAAGGAAGGATTTACTTCCACCATTTTCTATTTGTTTTCTGTATGTCTCATGTATTTTTTGCCTCTCATTTTCTATATTACTGTTTATTTTATGTTTGGTTGATTTTTTTGTGAAATGTTTTGAATCTATTCTTATTTCCTTCTGTGTGATTTTTAAATATTTTCTTTGTGATTTCCATTATGACTATACTTAACAACCTAAATTTGTAACAGTCTAGTTGAATTTATAGCAACTTAACTTTAATAGCATACAAATACTCTCCTCCTATACATGTCGTTGTCACAAATTACATTTATATATTATGTGCCCAAGAATGTAGATTTTTAATTAGTTTCTATGCATTTGTGTTTTAAAGCATATAGGAACTGAAAAGTGGATTTACAAACGAATAATATGGAAATAGTGGCTTTTATATTTGCCTGTGTATTTATCTTTACTGGAGATCTTTATCTCTTTATATGCATATCTAGTTTGTTTGTTTGTTTGTTTGTTTTTAAACAGAGTTTCCCTCTTGTTGCCCAGGCTGGAGTGCAATGGCATGATCTCGGCTCACTGCAACCTCTACCTCCCAGGTTCAAGCAATTCTCCTGCCTCAACCTCCCAAGTAGCTGGGATTACAGGCATGTGCCACCATGCCTGGCTAAGTTTGCATTTTTAGTAGTGATGGGGTTTCTTCATGTTGGTCAGGCTGGTCTCGAACTCCTGACCTTGGGTGATCTGCCCACCTTGGCCTCCCAAAGTCCCGGGATTACAGGAATGAGCCACCACGCCCAGCCCTATATGCATTTTTGATGAATGCCTAGTGTCCTTTCTTTTCAATCCATAGGAATCCCCTTGGCTTATTTTGTAGGACAGGCCTAGTGGTAAAAAAACAAAAAAACAAAAAAACAAAAAAAAAACTTCAGCTTTATCTTTTTATCTGGGAAAGTCTTAATTTCTCTCTTGTTGTTTATGGAAAGTTTTGCTGTATTTAGAATTCTCAATTGACAGATTTTTTTTTCTTTCAGCACTTTGAATATATCATTCCACTCCCTTTGGTATCCATGGTTTCTGATAAGAAATTGGATGTTAATTTTGTTGATGATTCCTTGCATAGGATAAGTCACTTCTCTCCTGCTGCTTTCAAGACTCTGACTTTCAACAGTTTGATTATAACATGTCTCAGTGTGAGTCCCTTGGAGTTTTCCTACTACAAGTTTGCCTTGCAGTTTTTAAGCTTTTATAACATATAGATGCATGTCTTTCAGCAGACTTGGGAAGTTTTTGGCCATTGTTTCTTTAAATATCCTTTCTGCTCCTTTATTTTTGTCATCTCTTTCTAGGACTTCGGTAAAATATATATATATATACACACACACATGACTGTTGGTGTTCCACATATTCCTTAGGTTCTGTTCATGTTTCTTCATTATTTTATTCTCCTCATACTTGATATCTTCAATTATTCTATCTTCAAGTTCACTGATACCTGTGTCTGTCTACTAAAATCTGCTGTTGAACACTTCTAGATTATTTTTAATTTCAGTTATTGTACTTTTTACCTTCAGAATATCTGATTGGTTCTTTTTAATAATGTCTTTTTAGATATTCTAAGTTTTAATATTTCATTTATTTATTTCCTTTATTCTTTGTTCATGTTTTTTTGTTGTTGTCATTGTTGTTGTTGTTGTCTGAGTCTGTTTAAGCCAGTTATTTAAAACCTTTGCCAAGTATGTTGAATGTCTGGTCTTCCTCAGAAATGGTTTCTTTTAATTTATTTTATTCTTTTGAATAAACCATACTTTCCTATTTCTTTGCATACCTTGTGATTTCTTTTGCAGAAAGCTGAATATTTGAATATTACAGTATGATAGCTCTGGAAATGAGATCCTCTTTCTTCCTCAGGGTTTACTGTTTTTTCTTAGTTGTTGAAGTCTGTAGTCATCCTTTTAATGACTTTTGCAAATGATTTTTGCAAAGAGTATTTATTTTCATGTGTGGTCACTAAAATCTCTGCTCCTTAGCTTATGATCAACTTGTGTTTTGATGGATATTTTATTTTTCTTTTTTTTTTTCAAATGTTTATTTTACGTACAAAGAACTATCATGGTTTTTCATTGAGTAGATGCCTTAGATAATCCTTTGAAGGAAGATCATTTAGTCCAACTTAATGAAACCGATATCCTTTGTGTACTGACGGAAACACTGGCAGCACATATTGAGGCCATATTTCTGGATCAGACCGTGCAGGTTTGAACAGACGGGACAAGAGCAAGAACCCTGGTCGAATTTTCGCGGGTGGCTCCAGTACAGCTGCTGGTGACCCATCTTGCTTTCAGGAATGCAATGAGGTAAAAGCAATAGATATTTTCTTGAGTGCCAGGAGCAGTTTTTTAATTGTCTTTTTTTAAATTCAGCATTCATTTTGTTGCTGGGAATTTTTTACTGTTTTCCAAAGTTCTGACAAAGTTGGTTCTGACCAGTTTTGCTTGTTTTTCAATGTTTCTATGAGGATACAAATGCTTATAGCTATCTATTTCACCATTTTACTGACATCCGAGTTAACAGGTTCTTTTGAAGAACAGGTCTATAGTAATTTAATAGAGTTCTAGTATAGCCAATGTCAAGCATCTGAAGACCTACTAATTTAATTGAACTCCAATTGTGGGAAGTAGGAGAAGCTGAAATTGTTTAATTTGCTTTGTGCAAGACACTCCACTAATCAACTCTCTTAGTCTTTGCTTCTGAAAATATAGAAGGAAGTGAAGATATGTACAAGGGCCTGGGAGTTCATGGAACATAGGATAAATTCAGTGATGTTAGCCTTTAACATTTTTTATTATCATCCTTGATTATCACTGCTATCACCTCACTCCTGAATCTGTCACTACTCATCCACCCCATTTCTCTGATGCGAGAGTAAGAGCAGGTAACACAAAGGCAAGATAATTAAGACGCAGGTTTAGTAGCACACAGAACTGCAATCAAACCTTATTCTTTTTTTTTTTCTTTTGAGACAGTTTCACTCTTGTCACCCAGGCTAGAGTGCAATGGCATGATCTTGGCTTACTGCAACCTCTGCCTCACCCGGTTCAAGCTATTCTCCTGCCTCAGCCTCCTGAGTAGCTGGGATTACAGGCGTGCACCACCAAGCCCAGCTAATTTTTGTATTTTTAGTAGAGATGGGGTTTCACCATGTTGGCCAGGCTGGTCTGGAACTCCTGACCTCAGGTGATCCACCTGCCGTGGCCTCCCAACGTTCTGGAATTATAGGTGTGAGCTACCGCACCTGGCAGTCAAATCCTATTCTTTCACTAACTTACTCTGTGATCCTGATTAGGATACCAAGTTCTCCATTCTCAGTTTTCTATTTAAAAAGTGGAAATGATTCTATATAGTGCCACTTTGGGTTATTGTAAGGACTGAATGAGCAACGCTTAGTACCTAGCCTGTCATAAGTCCCCCATAAAAGTTAGTATTAATGTTTATGCTCCTGTCCATTGTCCTGGGCTCCATCTTAAAACCTGATAACTACCCTGTCTTCTCACCTTTTGGGGTTCACATGGGACTGTTTTCTTTTCTTTCTTTCTTTTTCTTTTTCTTTTATTATTTTGTGTTTTTTGTTTTGTTTTGTTTTGTTTTTTGAGACAGAGTCTTTCCCTGTCACCCAGGCTGGAGTGCAGTGATGCGATCATGGCTCACTGTGGCCTTGAGTTCCCAGGTTCAAGCGATCCTCCTCCCACCTCAGCCTCCTAAGTAACTGGGACCACAGGCATCCACTGCATCTGGCTAATTTTTAAAAAACAATTTTTGGAGATGGGGTCTCTGTATGTTGTCCAGGCTGGTCTCAAACTCCTGGGCCCAAGCAATCCTCTTGCCTCAGCTTCCCAAAGTACTGAGATTACAGGTGTGAGCCACTGCATCTGGCCCGTTTTTGCTTCTACTTGTTCCTGGCCTCTGAAAAAGGCTCAGTCTTATCCAGTCCTGACATAGGGCTTCATTCTTGGGGAACATGTTTGCGGCCAGGGTTCTTGTAGCCCTTCAATGGAGCTGAGCACCAGCCCTCTATCTCCCAGGAAACACTTCCTCAACCTCTCTTCCCCGGCCTCTCTACCCTCAGTTTCTCCTCTTCTGGGTTGTGGACTATTCAATTATTTCTTACCATTCCTTAGCATTTCTCCCTCATGTGACCCAAAAGAGCACAGTTAGGAGTGGGGTGGGAGAAGGATGAAATATTTAAGAGAGTAACCCGTGTGTCCCTGCAGTCTGTCTCTTGATCCTCCTATCTCCTCCAGATTCCTTCCTAGATCATCTAGACCCTTTCTTGATTTTTAGTTTCCAATGACTGTAGGCTCTGAAGGGAAGAAAAATGACTTAGGCCAAATATAATAGATTTAGAAGCATCCAGAAGGAGATGGAACAGAGTTTTCCATTCTCCACCCCTCAAACTGGGGAAGAACATTTTAGTCTAGGGGGAAGGGGTGAGAGCTGAGATTTTAGAAGTCCCTAAGAAAGAAACCTTACTCCCTTCTGGGTAGAAAATAACAGAACCTTCAGCTAGGTTTGAGATAATCAACAGCCAAGGGAAAAATTTGTTTTTCTTCCCAGGAACAACACCAGAATAAGGTCAAGGTCTCAAGGAAGAAAGGTGATGTGTCGTGTTTCGAGGAACAGAGGCAGGCCTGAAAGGAACCTGTAAGTCACAATAAGGGATGGCTTACCAGTGTCCTTGGCAGAATGACCACTGAAGACAGACAGCTCAACGAGGGCTACTATGAGCAGATCATCCTGAGACTTTTTAATTCCCAAGCTAATAACCCAAGAAAGTAAATCCAAATTCAAAGAAAATGGAGGAACACCAATTTGACTAAAATTATATGTGTGCATCCTCAGCAAAATGGAGTCTCAAATTAAAAATTAAGTTATAAGAAGGATGTGACATTTCTGATCTTCCTGGGTCCAACAAGCTACATGATCATCTACAGAAAGCCCAAGGCTTCTGACTTTTATTTTACTTTTTACACTACAAACAGCTAGATGGCTAGCCAGTAAGGACAGAGAACAGCTTCCAAAGCCAAAAGAGCTATATAAAAGGTCACCTTGACAGGAGTCACCCAATCTCACTCTGACCCTGCCTGAAGACCTCCTGTAGAGCCCATTGGCCAAATCCAACTGGAAGCAGAAGGCAAGAGGGGCTGGGTGACATAGTGCATGCATATCTGCTTCCGAGGACTGAGAGTCGGGTGGAGACGGGTGGGGAATGCATCTGGGGAGCAAAGGGAAGGTGTCCCAAATTCCATGTGACCACATTCTCAGTGAAATGAACTAACTGGAAAGATCACTTTCCAGATCTGGTCTCCCCTCAGAGACAGAGGAAGAGCTAAGCCCAGGACGGAGGAGCTGAAGACCACTTTGGGAAGAGCTAAGCCCAGGACGGAGGAGCTGAAGGCCACTTTGGGAAGAGCTAAGCCCAGGACGGAGGAGCTGAAGACCACTTTGGGAAGAGCTAAGCCCAGGACGGAGGAGCTGAAGGCCACTTTGGTCAATACAGCTGAAACCCACAAGGTCATTTATAGAATCCCTTGTCCAAGAAGGAGAGTTAAAGGTTAGAACCAGGATATGAGCCAGAATCTTAGAAAATGCACGGTGGATTATTACACCAGAAGAATGAGACTGGTAACAGCGGCAGGTGAGAAAACGAAGCAGAATCAGATATGGGAATAGCAAGAAGATAACTCCAAAAACTTGACCTTCCCATTGGGTTAAACTTCTCTTTGAGATTAACCTTCTCTGTGGGCATAGGTGCCAACCTATTCAGATCTTTCTGTTTGCCAGAGCAGCATCACCCATGTGAAAGAACTGCCTTGTGGATATCTTCAGGGATGTCTCAGGATCTAGTTACACGTGCAGATTGAATCAGAGTCAGAGAGATGCTTAGGGAAAAGTGGAGTTCAGTTGTATTGAGTTGCAATCAACTGGTTGACATGCTAATATGCAACTTAATTAGCTGTTTGTTTATTTATAAGTTGCAATTATTGGAGTCAAAATTGTTTTTCATGTCTCAAACATTTTCTTAAGCCTTTGGAAGGTTAAGATAAAAATAATGAAAGGAAGTTCCTGAACAACAGCTGTGTGCATGGCCTGGTGCAGCCTGTCTGAATGAAGTTTGAGGGTAGGAGGCTCCAAGAGGGAAGGTGCTAAGAACTGACGGAATACCTAATTGCCAGACCATATGGAGACATTCAGATTGCTCACAAATATGGGAAAAATTAGTCACAGGTGCACAGAAAGCTAATTAATTTTATTTTAAAAGAGCCGACAATTTACTCCTAAAAAAGTTATTGCACAAGAAATGCAAAATACCACATGGTGTCACATATATGTGGAATCTAAAAATGTCTAACACATAGGAGCAAAGAGTAGAACAGTGGCTACCAGAGGCTGGGCAGGAGAAATGGGGAGATGCTGACCAAAGGCTGGAAAATTTCAGCTAGACAGAAGGGAAAGAAACAAAAGTAAATAAATAAATTGCATATGAGATTTGAAAAACATTGTAGTAGTAAGGAAAGCACTTTTCTGAGTTCTGTGAGCCATTAGAGCAAATTAACAAACATGAGGAGGGGTTTACGGGCACAGATTTGCAATTGGCATCTGAAGTGGGGAGCAGTCTCAAGGGACTGAGCCCTTACCCTGTGGGGTCTGTGCTACGTCACGGTACTTAGTGTCAGCATTAAATTGAATTGTTAGTGTCTGGACCCACGGTATCAGAGGAAAAATTAAGTCATAGTACGATCTCAGGGGGTGAAACATCTTCAGCATCTGAGGAATTAAAATTTGAGACAGCTCAGGCCAGTGTCTAGGTGGGAGAAGACACACATTTTGTCAGCGCCGAGATCCCCAGATCCTTCTGTTGAGAGACTCCTTTATTAAGAACCCTTGTATTCAGTCTGTTCACTTCAATCACTGATGCTTCCTCTGACTTCAGAAGAGATTTGTTTTTTGGAAGGAGGAAAGTGAACTTTAGAGACTGTAGAAAAGGATTAACAGATAGTTGCTGATGAGGCATAAATCCCAGCATTTCACAGAGTCAAAGGGAAGGATACGGCTCAGTCAGAGCCCCTGGCTGAACCACGTGAAGAGAGGTGGTCCCTCCGGGTCAGGACTAGCCAGGAAGGAGGACACAGGCCTGCCCAGGCTTCCCGGACACCAGAAAGGGGACGAGGGAAATATTGACAATAGGGCGCATCAATGATCATGGGACTGGAGACATAGCAAATTGTATTATATAATAAGGTAATTGCTTTGTTTTGTTCTCTAACTAACATAAGAAAGCTAGAAATCTTTCACGAACATGCCACAAGCCCTGGGGAATGGTCTACACTGGGAAGCGAGGCAGGTGGATCTGCCACCTGGGGTTCTTCCTCCCTGCCCAGGCCATGTGTGCTCTCAGACACCCTCCAGCCACGAGGACTCAGCCCCACTGAAGGGCAAGGGCTCACTGCCCACCCATTATCACCAGGGCAGGTGTGACGAGTGATCCCAGGTAAATAGGCCCCCGGGCTCCCCGCCTTCTGCCCTGCGCAGCCCTCCCAGCCCTGCCCAGACCCCATGGGCCTCCTCCTGGCCGTGGGCACTTTCACCCTTCCTCAGTCACCCTGATGGTGCTGGAGAAAGCTCATCTTTTCAACAGCTGACCACTGTGGGTGGGTTTTCTTCCTTCTGCCAGCTTCCTCTGAATGTGTTTCTCCACTTCTCACATTTCCTCTGTCTTCCCTCTCCCGGGCTCTGTGCTTCTGCCCTTCTCTCTCTGTCTCTCTTTCTCTCCATCACTGTGTGTGTATTTCTGTGTTTTCCCTCCCATGAACCCCTCCCAAAGAAGTGGGGAAGTGAAGGTAAATCTTCTTTTAGAAGCAAAAATACTCAAAAGAAAAGGCAGCCCTTCCTCCACCACCACCACCACAGGGCACCACACCTGGACACTCACCATACTTTGGGGGTGAC